GCCCCACTCTGCAGAAGCCTCAGTGTAGTGGATGCACCAACAGGGGAAGCAGCCACCCCTGAGAGCCCCAGCTCAGTTGTCCCTTGAAACATCTGGAAACCGCTACTCAGCAGCAGTGGGCGGGAGAGGGGAGAGAAGGGGAGAGAAGGACAGGAGTCTGAATGGGCGAGAGCTGATTCCCTGGTTCCCTTTGTCCTTCTCCCCAGCTGCAGCCCACCTGGCATGTCCAAGCTCTGGAACCACACAGCTCCCTCTGACCACCAGTCCTTTGTGGGCAGAACAATCTGGGCAGGAGTTGGGAAATGTTTGTGTGGAGACCAGTGGCATGGATTCTGAAGGGCTAAAGCTCCTGGAGAGTAGAAATGCATGCAATGGGTGGAGAAGCAACGTGCACCCACTGCCTCCATTCAGGTTTGTGGTAGGGGGCGACCCCAAGGGGCTACACCTCAGTGCTTTGTTCTCAAGAAGCCACCAGTTCACTGGTGGTGGCAGCTTTGGGACTTGCAAGGTAGAGAAGCTCTCCAGCAACTAATGAGCCTACAAGAGGTGTGAGGGGAGGAGAAACAAACCTTCAACTACCTTTTCTGTGGGTCTCCAGGTTTCTGAGGGGTTGATCTCCATCAAAATCTTGTTCCTTCTTATTCTGCCCTGCGACTTCTTGTGGAATCTCTGGTAGGTTCTGGCACTTTCTCCTCAGAATCACATCTGAACTATGTTTATTTTCATCTAAAATTTTTCCTTCTTATTGAGACAGTTTGGCAGCCAATGTTTCTGTCATCTTGCCCCACCTCTCTCCAGTCTTAATGTTGAGTAGAAGCGGTAAAGTAGACAGGTTTTATCTTACTTTTGTTCTTAGGAAAATGCATTTGGTTTTTCATCATTAAGTATAATACCTGTAGGTTTGTTGCAGGTTTCCTTTATAAGCCTGAGGCAGTTTTTGTGGCCAAGAGGTTTTAGTAAACAGTGGGCAGTAGATTTTGTTAAATGATTTTTTTGTGTGTTTGCACTACTGTTGAGATGATTGTATGGTTTTTCTTCTTTAGTCTGATAGGTTAATGGATTTCTCTAATGTTAAGCCATCCTTGCATTCCTACCATATGCCCCACTTGGTCATGATGTATTATCCTTTTTGTAGATTGATAAATTTGATTTGCTAAAATTTAAGATTTTTTTTTGTATTGATGTTCATGAAGGATATCAGTTTGTAGTTTTCTTGTAATATTTTTGTTTTGTTTTGGTATTAGATCAACACTGGTGTGTTTTAGAATGAGTTGGCAAAGAAAGATTCTCTTTTCTTCAATTTTTGGGAACACTTTGTGGAGAATTAGTATTATTTCTTAAGTGTTTGCAGAATTCTGGACTTTTTTAACTACAAATTTATTTTCTTTAGCAGGTGCAGGAAGTACAAGTTATTTTTTTCTTGAGCGAGTTTTCGTAGTTTATGCCTTTCAAAAAATGTGTATATTTCATTTCTTTTGTCACATTTTTGGCATAAAATTATTCATAACATTCCCTTGTCCTTTTAATATGTACAGAATCTGTGGTGGTGCTGCCTCTCACTCCTCTGCTACAGTTTTGAAAACAAATTATTTCTTCCTTCCTGATATTTGAGGTATTGATGCCATTTTATGTTTACTGGATTGCTTCCCATTTCCTCCCAGGAATGCCTTGAGTATTCTGTAGATTTCATTTTACTTGATATTTGTTTCTTTTCCATTCCCACTCCCCACCTATCATCAGTCAGGGTTTTAGCCTGACCTCTCTGCCACCGTGGCTCTATATGCACAGACTTTGTTCTGCCTCTTCCAATAGTGTATAAACTGTCGCTCTTCTCTCTAAAGCTACATCTTTTATTCATGACTGATCCTGTGTGCTGTTACCTACCCAAGGACGTTGCTTCACTTCTTATCCCCTCTCTCTCCTTCTTAATAAAGTTTTACCTCTCTCTCAGATGATTCTCATTAGTATGAGCAAATATATTTTAATGTATTCCCTTTAAAAAAATACTCCATTTCTCTGCTTCCCTTTATGTAGCAAAATTCATTGATAAAGTTGCCTTTAAAGTCATTTGTTTGAAGAATAATGTTGTAAACACCATAAACAAACCATCCAGCTAAAGAAATAAAACATTATCAATTCAGCTGAATGTCTGCATGATCCTTCTCTAGTGGACTTCCCTCCTAATTCACCAGATGTCACATTCTCTCTCATTAGTTAGTATCTCTGGCCCACTTCACTCATATTTTCTAAGTCAAAGTCACCATTGATAACAGTATGTTAAATTTAGTAGTCAATTCTCTGTCCTCTTCTGTTTCAGCTTTTCAGTATCATTTGATACTGTTAACCCCTGACATTTTCTAAAATTCATGCCTCACTTAGTTCCCATAATATAAAACTCTATTTTTTTTAACGTTAACTAATTGACTGACAGCTACTGAACTGGCCTGTCTTTTCTCCATCCTTGAAATATTTGGTATCCCAGAACTCGGTTCTCTAACCTTTTCTCTTTCCTGTCTTTACTTTCTTTTTTGTTTGTTTGTTTGTTTGTTTGTTTGAGACACAGTCTCACTTTGTTGTTCCAATAGAGTGCGGTGGCGTCAGTAGCTCACTGTGACCTCAGACTCTTGGGCTTGAGCCATTCTCTTGCCTCAGCCTCCCAGGTAGCTGGGACTACAGGCGCCCATCACAAAGCCTGGCTATTTTTTTAGTATTGGGGGTCTCACTCTAGCTAAGGCTGGTTTCAAACTCGTGAGCTTAGGCGATCTGCCCGCCTTGGCTTCCCAGGGTGCTAGGGTCACAGGCATGAGCCCCTGCGCCCAGCCTTGTCTTCACTTTCTTTTTGTAGTATCTTATCCCACCTCATTCCCTGAACTCCAGACATCCCCTGCTTCCAACCCAAACCCACTCTTTCGTTCACTTCTGTACTCACCTGTTTATCAGACCTGAGAACTAGGAGTCATTCTTTCTTTCACTCAACACTACAGTACAGTCCATTAGCAAAATTTATCCCAGTTATAACCAGTTACCACCATCACCATTCCTAGTGCCCAAGTCCAATCCACCATGATCTCTCACTTAAGCTACTGTAGTAGTTTTTTAACTGGTTTCCTAGCAGTCATTCTCATACCCTTTATGTTTTACCTCACAACAGCCTAAATTTTCAAAATCTGCCAATGACTTCTCAGCCTTAGAATACTTTTTGAACTCCATTACGGCTTTTGAAGCCCCACATAAGCCGAACCCTCCCTTCTCCAATCTTAACTTTTACCACTTACAGTCATTCTCAGATTTAATGTGCCTAAGACTCTTAAGATATTAACCAGTATTTTTTTGCCCCATTCCATGTGGGATTCTGATTGTGTTTCTGACATAGGATTCAAAGTTTTCATACATACGAGACGACCTCAATTGACTCTCAAGCAGATTATCTTGACCCCATACTGTTGAGAAACAATGTTTTAGTAAGTGCAGATAACTAGAGGACACGAATGCATTCTCATGTTGAGGACGCTTTTTTGCAGTTCATGCCTATAGCTTTCTTCCCATACATGTAAAGTTTCAAAAAGTTCCCCAGGTAAACAGGTATGTTCTCCCTATCCAGCCATTACCAGCAAATAGTGGGAACTATCATCTGTCTCTGCCTTCAATTCAAAACCTAGTAATAGAAGCTTAGTGTACCTTAGATACAAAGAGATTGGTGGGTAAGTTGGAATTTTGTCATAAAATCGTGGAATTTGGCTTGTACATTCTTACTGGATAGTCTGTCATCGTAGCTGGAGCTAAGAGTCTCCTTGAAAGACAAGTTGACCCTCAGGTCAGCCAGAATGTTCAATAAACATTGAAATTCCTTTATGTTTGTAAGCAAATTAAATTTTAGATTAGATTGTATTTGACAGTCACTTCATGTACAGTAACTGATTTTTTTTTTTTGCTTAGGAGTATTTTATTTGGGTTATCTTACAAGTTTCTCAACTCTGCAATTGAATAGTTAACCTAGTTGCCATTTTAAAAATCTGCTAACTCTGGTCAGTTCGATGGTCAATTGGCAGGCAATGTTTATATCTAGTTTTATAGGAAACAAATTTATTATATGCTAATTTAAAATGAATAATTTCTGCATATCACAGTGAGCTCTAAAATTAATTCATTTTAAAAGTTCGGGGGTTAGAAAGGATGAAATAAGATGAAATATTGTCGTACATTAAGCAACACCTCCAGCTCTTAATAAGTGGCTCCTCTTTCCCACTTCTGTTTATTTTAGTAAATGTTGATTTTATATTTTATTCCCTTCTAAGTTGAAGGACATATATACCGTCTCTGGAGTAAGCAGCAGGTGAAATATATGTCCCTCGTCTAAAGTACACGGAATTGTTTATTCAGCTACTAAATGATTACTGACTTTAGTTACTATGCCTTTTAGGGTTCAGGTTTCTCTTGAATAAATTCAAAGTTATTTTAGCCTAAAATTCAGTAAACTACAGCAAAGTTGTCACCTCTCATCTGTTTTTATAATATCCCCTGAGCTAAAAGTGGTTTTGACATTTTTAAAAAGGTTTGAAAAAGAAGACTAAGCAACGGTGACCTTTTATGGTCTGTAAAACCTAAAACCTTGACTATCTGACCTTTTAATATTTATAAAGTATTATTAGAATTATAATACTAAGAAACCTGCTTGGTAATAAATTATTACTTTAATAATTAGGATGTCTTAATCTTTTGAAGTTAATCTAATTAGCAGGGTAGAGTAGGATAACCAGTTAATGAAGTTGTATATTGTATCAACTGTGTTTTTATATGTGAAAAAGCAAGTTTAAAAGAATTTTAAGTTCTCCTTGTCAAATACATTTTGTTTTCGAAATAATTAGGATATATCTTTGGAATCGAAATATATAAAAAATTTCTTAACATAAGTAATGCAAGTACTGATTGATAGATTGGCATATATTATTTGTTTTATTACTAAAATCAATGTTTTTTGTATTTTATTTCCTTCCATTTAGATAGAAGCAGATTTGGGATATCCTGGAGGTAAAGCACGAATTATTCATAAAGAATCTGATATCATTACTGCCTTTGCTGTTAATAAAGTAAGTACATAGACATTTTTTATTTGTTTGATTATTAACTATTCATAGTTGAAGAATATATTCGGTTTTATCAGTTTATTCATATCAGTATTTCTCTTTCCCAAAGCTACTTCCAGCTACTTAAATTGTAATCCACATAAGGTTTTTTATTTTTTAAAAGGATTATTTTATTTGACATGTGACTTTGGATATGGAGCTGATAAATTTATAATGCTTTGTTATTACACAGAAATGCTTTCTTACCTCATATATGCAATAGCTTTGGAATTACAGCAGTTAACTCACAGAAAACGTTTCTTATATTCCTTATGAATATGTTGAATCTGATTCCTAATATGTGACAAATTTAAGCTTATATGTTACTCAAAAATTCTCCCTCTTTGACTTAAACCTCCAGTAGCCGCCCAACTAGTGTATTTTCTTTGTATTTCTTAGACTTCTGCTTAACATCCACCTTAGAGATTTCCGTAAGTTCCTCATAGATGGGTACAGTAGTTCAAGGTTAAGGCTTGTTTCAGTTATTTCCCCTCCGTCTCCCCTTGCCTTACTGTATAGTTTCTACTGACTTCTAGTTATTCATTTGTTCCCTTTTTTTTCTATTAACTTAAAGGATCTATATGTCTCTTTTCATGTATTCCTAAAGTATACTTAAATGAAATATATATATATGATGTTCACATGTTTGTAATTTTAAATAATTTTAAAATGTTATGTGGTTGTATATTCTGTGATATACAAGGAAATGTGATGTCCTTCTTCAGTGATCCTTTTACCGGGTGGTTCTCCATCATCCTGTGCTGTATCTGTCTTCTCTTTGATTTCTCCTCCGTAGTTCCCTTTTTATTCTTTTCTCATATTTCCCTATATCCTTTGCTTCATTTCCCTCATGTGCAATCTTGAATAATGACTCGTTCAGTGTGAGGCAGGCAAACATGGAATTAGCCCCTTGGCCAGTTGTAGTATATACATAACATGGTATATAAATGTCAAATACAAGATTATTGTCCGTACCCTATATTACCTGCCTTTTTCTGAAGAAAACACGATTTCAAATATTCTAACTAGTAATGAACAGTTGTCCAGGATGTCTTCAGATCACGGTGTCTGAGTTTGCCTATTTATTTCCCTAGATTTGATATTTTTTATATCCTTGATAAATTTGTAACTGAGAAGTAATACCTTTTGTTTTAAACTGCTTTCTTAAAAAAAAAGAAAAAGTCTCTGTCTGTTGTCAGTGGCATCATCATAGCTCACAGGAGCCTCAAACTTCTGGGCTCAAGTGTTCCTCTTGCCTCAGTCTCCTGAGTAGCTGGGACTACAGCTAAGTTTTAATCTTTTTGCCCAGCTAAGTTTTAATTTTTTCTGTAGAGACGGAGTCTCACTGTTGCCCAGCCAGTAAATTGCATTTGTTAAAAATGCCGTAAAGATTGTACTTTTTCACATTTGTTTAGTTGAGAACTGTCAGTGTCAAGAACTCTGAAGGGTCTGAGATTTCACCTTGACCTCAGTCTAACCAGTTAGCTCTTACAGTTTAATGATGTTGTTAGAAAACGCAAGACTCCTTGATCAGAGACAAAGGAAACTCCATTTCCAACAGTAAGAGCAGGAGCTGGAAAATCAGCATCTAACACTGGTTCTCGGAACTGCAATTCCTGCAGAGTGCTAGGAAGAAGGCCACATGATACCTGCAGACTCCGTAGGTACATCGTAGAAGAAGATCCCTGAGTTAAGGGGACCTAATCTCTTCTGATGAACAGGAAGCATACCTGCCCTTTTCTCTGAAGGGAGAGACTAGTGATACAAACATTCTAGACATGATATTGCTGAACTAAGGGCAATCAGTGACTTGAGACGTGGGAATTGTCTCTCAACAGTCTAGTTATGTGTTTTTCCTTTTATCTCTGGAATTTCAGCTTTTTCTTAATAGTCTATATAAGAATTTCACATGCTGCTAATATTAATCATATTTTCTCTTTGCTATTCTTTCCTGTTTTCTGTTTCAGAGATGTGCATTTTTAATTCATGGCCAAACATTCATGTCATTTAATCTTACCAACTTTTCATTCATGATTTCTTCTTGCATAATTCTTTCACTATTTTTCTGCCCCTATACCTTTTCTCTGTGACCCTTTCCCACTTCTAGTTTCCTTGACAAAGATAGAAAGGCTTTAGGACAGTGGTTCTCAACCTTCCTAATGCTGCGGCCCTTTAATACAGTTCCTGTGGGTCACAATCCACAGGTTGAGAACTGCTGCTTTAGGAGAAAGTAATGCTATTTTATTTGAATAATTAACAATTACACCTTTCCTTTGGAGTTTCTTAATCCCCCTCCACATATACTTTTTCTACCTTTACGGCTCTGCTCTTCTTTTTTTTTTTTTGAGACAGAGCCTTAAGCTGTCCCCCTGGGTAGAGTGCAGTGGCATCACAGCTTACAGCAACCTCCAACTCCTGGGCTCAAGCGAGTCTCCTGCCTCCGCCTCCCAAGTAGCTGGGACCACAGGCACCTGCCACAATGCCCGGCTACTTTTTGGTTGCAGCCACCATCGTTGTTTGGTGGGCCTGGGCTGGATTCGAACCCCCCAGCTCAGGTGTATGTGGCTGGCGCCTTAGCTGCTTGAGCCACAGGCGCCGAGTCCGGCTCTTCTCTTCTTTAGCACCTTCACCCACGTTTCCAAATTGTGCAAACCTTACAGAGATCATCGAATGCTGGAAGACTAGAGAGAGAGTGTTGGGAGAAGTCACAAAGTGCTACACGTATTGCCGTTTATCGTTGGCTTTCTGTCCAGGAAACTTTTCTTAGAACATAAACATATGTCTAAGCTTCTGATTAGTTCACCAAATATTTAATTGATAAATGTAATTGAAAGAAATTTCTAAGAGTGCTATATATTCTGTACTTGAGTTACCATTTTTAGAGGTTATTTCGTCCTTTTTCTTTTCAGGAGTAGCTCTTGTACCTCTTTTTGATGCATTTTGAAGTTACTGTATGATTTATTTTTCAGGCAAATAGAAACTGCATAGCAGTTGCTTCCAGCCATGACGTTCAAGAACTGGATGTTTCTGGAATTCTGGCTACACAGATCTATACTTGGGTAGATGATGATATGGAAATGGAAACAAAAGGGTACCCTTTATACTTGTTTTTTATCTAGTAACATTGCAGTGTAAGTGGTTATATCCACTGAACTATAACTTTCAAAAGATTTTTTAAAGGAGTCCTCCTAAATTATAAGTAGAGGGGAAGCTGATGTGCTAAAAGTCAGCCAGAGATGTAGAGGGAACTGAGAGTTAAAGAAAGTAAATGAAGGGAGTGGAAATTGTTCGAGTATGAAGCATTGTCTGTGAGTTAGGAGTAAAACCTGAAAAAAATTAATTTTTTAAGTAAATGTAGAACTTCCAGCTGTAAGAAAGAAAAACTGATGAGTTATTTTCATTCTGGTGGACATTCCTTTGTAGATCAGAGGATTTCTTGGTTATACATGCACGTGATGATTTAACAGCTGTACAAGGTACAACCCCGTACACGCATAGTAATCCCGGGACTCCAATCAACATGCCATGGCTCGGCAGTACACAGACTGGTAGAGGAGCATCTGTGGTATGTAAAGATAGTGAAGGTTGTGTATAAAAGATTAGATAAAGGTTGAGTTGTATCATTCCTGTAAATTTTGGTAATGAAAAATGGTGTATTTTCATTTGAAAGAGTAACAAAAAATTGCTTTAAAAATATATGTTAAAAAATATAGGCTCAGTGGCTGTAGCTCAGGTGGCTAAGCACCAGCCACATATATCAAAGCTGGCGGGTTCGAATCCAGCCCGGGTCTGTCAAACAACAATGACAACTACAGCCAGGCACCTGTAGTCCCAGCTACTTGGGAGGCTGAGGCAAGAGAATTGCTTAAGCCCAAGAGTTTGAGGTTGCTATGAGCTGTGATGCCATGGCACTCTACCCAGAGCAACATAGTGAGACTGTCTCAAAACAAAAACAAAAACCAACTAGATAATTTCAGGCTTGGAGCCTGCAGGCACCCACCATAACACCGGGCCATTTTTTGGTTGTAGTTGTCATTGTCGTTTGGTGGGCCGGGCTGGATTTGAACTCGCCAGCTCCAATGGATGTGGCTGGCACCCTTACTTAACACTGAGCTACAAGCTCTGAGCCTGAAGTTATCTATTCATTATTTAGTTGTTGTTGTTGTGTTTTGGGGTTTTTTTTTGAGATAAAGTCTCACTGTGTTGCCCTGGGTAGAGTGCCATGGCATCACAGCTCATAGCAACCTCAAACTCTTGGGCTTAAGCAATTCTCTTGCCTTGACCTCCCAAGTAGCTGAGATTACAGGTGCCCACCACAACGCCCAGCTATTTTTGTTGTTACAGTTGTAATTGCTGTTTAGCTGGCCCAGGCCTGGATTCGAACCTGCCATCCTTTGTATATGTGACCAGTTCCCTAACCAGTGAGCGACGGGCGCTGCCATAGTTGGTTTTTTTTTAATACCCCCCTGGGATCTAAACTGTTCAAGAGCTTAGATTCTGCCTGCCTCATGGATTGATGATGCCTGACTAGAATGGTGTTGACCATAGAGTAGGTATTTATGCTCCAAAGCATTATAATATACACATCTACCTTTGGTATTCCTCTTAGGATTGAATTTTCTTCCTATCTAAATCTTAGAAGGACATCTTTTTAGTTGGAGTTATTATAATTTGGGAACATACATAATGGGGATTGCCTAACTTTAACCTCAAGTAAAAGATACCAATAGAACAGGATTATTGGCTTGGCGCCTATAGCTCAACCGGCTAAGGCGCCAGCCACGTACAACTAAGGTGGCAGGTTCGAATCCCCAGCCTGGACCCGCCAAACAACAATGACGGCTGCAACCAAAAAATAGCCGGGCGTTGTGG